ATAGTCAGGGCATATAGGCAGAGAGAATAAACAGGAGGAAGAAGAGGGAGGGGTGAGAAAGGAGGAGAGCAGGACACCAGGGGCCAGTCACCTAGCCACACAACTAGCCACAGAGTACGAAGGAAAGAAAGGAATAGAGAATAGAGAAAGGTGAAAGCCCAGAGGCAAAAGGTAGATAGAATAATTTAAGAAAAAAAACTGGAAAAAAAAAAACTTGACTTAGAAACAAGTCAAGCTAGGGCTGGGCATTCATAAGTAAGTATAAGTCTTCTTGTGTTTATTTTGGAGCTGGGTAGCAGGCCCCTCAAAGAGTAAGGAGTCAAAACAAAACAAAACAAAAACCAACTACAGTCTGCAGTAGCAAGTCCCTACATTACAATACAGCAAGGTGTGTGTCCTCTGTTGACCCACTCTTCTGGCAGAGGGCACCTGTGGGCACCTTCATCCTTCTTCTCTCCCGCCACAGTATGTGTCCTTCTCATCAGATCCAAAGGATGCCAGCGCTGACACCTCTTCCAGCCCTTTACACGGACTGCCCTTTCCAGAAAACCCCTTGAGACATTAGTTTGAAAGGTGAGTCAAACTGAGGGGAATGTTTTTGTGAGTTTGACAAACAACTTTAAACCGGAAGGCAGTGAACCGTGGACAGGAGAGACAGCTCCTTTCTACCTGATTCTCCCTCCAACCTCCCCGCTCCTACCCTGACACACCACCACTACCACCAGCGCAGCAGGCAGGAGCCCCGCTGTGATCTGCCAGGCGCGCAGGGCGGGGCAGGAGGATGCCAGCGGCGGGGCGGGCTCCCTGGCTGCCTCTAGACCCTGCCATCCAGGCTGCGGAGTGCTCAGCGACGTGGAGGAGCCGGCGCCCTCGAGCCTGCCCTGCCCACTGGTACCTAGCCATAGAGGGAAGGAAACCGCGCAAACGAGTTGGGAAATATTACGGGGCGACCTTACCGCCGTCAGCACCATGGACAACGCAGGCGGACCGTCCCGGGCGCATCTGGACGCCGCTGGCTTCTGGCAGATCTGGCAGCGCTTCGACAAGGAAGGTGAGTCCCTTTGGCGACTTTGAGCGCTTAGCTTAGACACCGAGGGAACTGGAGTCTCTCCTAAGCGTCTTTCCCTGTGGGAAAAGTTGACGACCTCGTGCCGGATAGAGTACACCCAGCGCAGTCGGCTTGTCAAGCTGGTTTTACACATCAAGAAAGCTTCTGAAAATTGTGTGTGGACTGAGGGATTTTGCTTTCCAACCCATGGGTGTGTGTAATGACATGCAATTAATATATTAACAAATATCATTGCAGACATATTCCAGGCTGTTGGGCCAAGACTCAGCAATCTCTGGGGTGTCTGTAAATGTGACAGATTTTCATTAGTGACTGTCATATTGCCCACTCTCCACTCTCTACAAAAGAGGATGAATTTTAATAACATTCAGATTTATTTCCCCTCTACCTCTAAACACGTTCTTGAAAATGAAACACATCTGCTTGTCATTTGGTTTTGTTTCATTAGTAATTAAAGAAACACAAAGAAAACATCTGAAAGGCATGTTTACACACAAAAGCTAGGATTCAGTATTTACCCCATCAAGATATTAGTGGGCAACTATTAAAATAACGAAAGTGTGGGGGATAGAGAGATGGCTCAGCCATGAATCCCACAGGCTACTCTCTCAGAAGACTCGGGTTTGGTCCCAGCACCTCTGTTGGGTAGCTCACAACCACCTGTAACCCAACTCCAGGGGATGTGATGCTCATCTTTGGTTTCTGAGGGCACCTACACCGACTCACACCCCCACCCCCACATACACACAATTAAGATAAATACAAATCTTAAAAAAAAAAAAACTTTAGAAAGCATGCACAGGAAATATAAAACCCAGACTAAGCCCAAATCCACATGACAAGGTGTGGTGGCATATGCCTGTGATCCCAGCACTTGAGAGGTGGAGGCAGGCGAATCGGGAGTTCAAAGTCTTCCTCAACTACATGGCAAAGAGTCCAGCCTGGGCTCTGTGAGACACTGTTGCAAGCCTCCCTCACACCTACAATATTCTTTTAGACAAATGCTGACACATTTATTCTATATTGGTGACTATTATTTATGTTTATCTTCTTGCATTAGAAAGAGGCTACATAAGAGAGACGGAGCTGGATTCCTTCTTTGACCATTTGCTGGCAAAATCTGGTACGGGGGTAAGTTCATGGCACAGAGCACAGAGAATGTGTCTCTCAGCCAAATGCAAGCCTCAGAGTCTCGTGTTGATTTGAACCTATAATCCCACCTGACCTCATTTCTTCTTTGCATGTAACATCTTTCCCTCCCCTAGCAACCTAGAGAGATTTAGGCAGATTTTATAGAAGGTACTGTCATATTAGGCATGCTGGCCCCTGATTTTCATAGAAACATCTGTCATGCAATTAGAGCGTCTATCTCTTGTGGACTCAGTCAACTCTAATTTGAATGTTTCCTTGGTTACATCTCTGCTAATGGATTTCAACAAGAGGTAGGGTATTGCTTAGACCAAAACCACAGAAGAATAGAGAGGATATTATGAGCTTTAAGGTTCCATGGTCACACATGGCAAACAAACCATTTAAAAAATCATTTCCCCATGATCTGTTTGATGCAAGGTTGTAGATTTCTCATGAACTGCTAAGCCAGACAAAGCCAACCTTCTCAGAGTCAGATAAAAAAGTAAATCAGTTTACTCAGATGGTAAATCTGGCCTGGAGAGATGTGGATTAATTCTAGAAGGTTCCTGTTCCAAAGAAGAGGGGAATAAATAACACAGAAACCCCCAAGGCCAGGCCAGTCTGCGTGTTCATATGGAGAGAATTCCTTTGGGTAGGTGGTCATCACAGGAGGAAAGAATCTGGCACAGCTGTGTTTACATGAATTGTCCATCTCTAGGTTTTAGTTCTAGAGACTAGTAAAGAATTTACCTGGAGGAACATTGAGGGGTACTTAGTCCCACTTCAGAGCCATGGCCTTGGGTGTCCACCCGAGAAGAGTGCAGGAAAAGGGTTAGAGGCTGGGACAGGCAGCTGAGGAATGAAAACAGTACAACAGACCCCTCTTGGTCTCCCTCTGTGTGCCTCTTTCTCCTAGTTGGCACAGCTTTACATCTCTCGGTGTTCTGCCCACATCTGTGTTCTCCACCTCAGTGCCTCCTCTCTCTGACCTCGCTGTCTTGTGTCTCTGTGATCTTTGTGCATTTCTCGCCTGATTCTTCAGCTCCCCTCTGCCTCTCTCTATTTCCACCCGCTTTTCAAACTTTTCTCTTGTCTCTCCTACCCACCCCCAGGTCCTTTATTTCTCCTTTTCTACCTCTTTCCTGTCTCTGTCTCAACTCTTTCTGCTGTTTAGTTTTTACTTGTAAGTTTCTCCTTCCAACTCTTGGTCTCCGAGTCTCTCCTTTCTTATTGTCCAGCTTCATGTGAGGCAGAGGGTGGCAGGTAAGAGACATGGAGCCGTGAACTCCTCTGTCTTCTGCTCTGGGCTCTGTACACGCTTCTCTCCAGCCTTCATTATTGCCTTTGTGCTTGCTCTGGGTCTCACTGAGGAAGCATCCAGCAGCTGAGAGTCCCATTGCCATTTTGTATCCCAGTCTCCCGTGCCAGCAGCCCACTCTGAAGCCTCTGAGCCTTGCATCTGTAAATGCTCAGGCTAAAGTGTCACAGGAACCCATGATTCAGGTACCATTTACTCAACTCTGGATGGGAGATGTTTTAAGAAAGCAAACAGAGGAAGCTAAAATCATTCAAAGGTCCCAAACTCTAAGACAGGATGATCACTTCCCAAAAGAAACATCATAGAGATCCCCGAGGAAGGATTTTGATGGCTGGGGTAGCTCAGTTGCTATAGTGCTTGCCTAAAATGTATAAAGCCCTGGGTTTTACATCTTGTGTTGCATAAGCTAGGCATGGTAGCAAACACCTGCAATCCTAGCCCTTGGGAAGTGGAGGCAGTGGGATCAGCAGTTCAAGGTCATCTTCAGCTACAATATCAACGTAGAGGCCAGATTGGGCTACATGAGACCCCATCTCAAATAAACCACACACACACACACACACACACACACACACACACACACACACACGCGCACGCACGCACGCACGCACGCACGCACGCACACACATGCATAAATAAAGTATTTATTTATTCTGAGAGGATTCTGGGGTTTCCAATAGAGAGCTATTTGCTCATCAATCTCACTGAGCACTTAGCCAACCTCCATGCAGGTGCCTGTCGTAAAGCCTCTGGTGGGGCTAGACTCACGGGCCATCTGCTGTCACGGCTGCTTTTGTTACTCCAACCTCACTTTCTAAATGGTGATGACTTGGAACCCTAGCAACCTGACTAAGGGTGGTGAGGGACTGAAGAGAGGAGAGATACACAGACACGTGTACAGGAAGGCTGGGGTCAGGTGGGCTGTATGCCCTCTGATGGAGTCCACACCTGGCTATGCAGTGCCAACTTGAACTCTCAGCGTTTTCATTAGGTCCAGCACAGGGGGAGGCGTTAGCTAGTCTTGGTAGAAGGTGTCTGTAGGTGAGCAGTCTCAGACTGTAAACATCCAGAGAAGGAAGCCGTGGAAGGAAGAAGTTTTGCATACACTGCTAACATCTGTGCTCAGATTAGAGAAACGCTTTGCCGTGTCTCTGAGCTTCAGCACAGGAGGGAAGCCTTGCCAGTTTCCACGGGTCTGAGGCATTGGTCTCTGACACGGTCCCGATTGTGTCAACAGCACACATTCAGTCAGGACTCCATCCACTCTTTACACATTCGTTCAGGGTTTCCTTGGCTCTCCGCACACCTTTTTCTTTTTACATGCTGAGAACTGGCCACCGTCACCCAGACAAACAGATGACCTCTGAGACTGAGCCCAGGCAGGGTACTCCACATTTAGTATTTTGACACATGAAGGAAGCAGGTTGACAGGACATCTTGGAAACAAATGGAACCCTGTTCACCTTCCACAGAAAGAGAACACAGTTTTTGTCTCTGACAGCCCACTTCAGAGAAGCCTCGTGGTATGAGGGAAGATAGCTATATGTTTAGACAGAGTCTAATATTTATTGTTCACTCCAGACCTGTAGCCAGGAGCAGTATGCCACTGAAATACACTAGTTCTGGATTTTAGTGTCCACAAAGTGTGAATAATCGTGTCTTAGCCTTCCCGTTTCACAAGGAGCCAGCACAAGTGGAAAGTGCATTCTAGTAGAGGAAGCACCTGCCATGCACAAGCTCTCGGATGTCATGATGTCTCCTGGGATCTTATCTTTCCTGCCTTCATTATGCAACCCTAACAGTCACCAACGGGTAACTTTTTCATCCTTAGAGGCCTCTAAGATCTAAAACCAACTCTGGAGATTGCTAGCTTGTAAGACTTGGAGACAAACCTTTGAGCACTGGTTCGGAGAGTTAGAAAGACACTGAAGGAGAGAAGGTTGTTTGCCGCCCGTCACCACAGGAGCCCACAATATTTGCTCAGTGTGACTCGATGGTCCAGGCAATGTTTCCTGTTTTGTCTCTGGAGTCTTGGGTCCCAATTCACTAATGTCCCCTCCCACATCTGTCACTTGGTGTGAGCTCACTTAGGAACATATTCAGTTTTTTAAACAAGGCCCTTCACTATTCCTCATTTATAATCCTCAAATGAATACATTTGGTTGATGTGTTTACAGAGTCAATTTGTCCAAGTCCACTTATTTTAATCATTACTTTAATCATTCTAAATATTAGACCCAAACCGTCAGCCTAGCAGATGGCTTTGCTGTGGCTGCAGTATACAAATCCATTTGATTGATAGGTTGTCTTGATAAAATACCAGTGGTTCTGCTTTGGCTTAAAAATGAAAATAACTGCTCTTTTATTCAATCTTTTGTTTTTGCTGATAGAGTCTGATCTCTGTGAAGCTCATTCCAAACAAAACAGATTCTGCACTTGCAGGTGGGGAATTGCTGAGACATTGACTCACCTGCCTTTCTCCTGTGCATGCATGTCAATGAGCCTCTGTGTTTGAATCTCCTCCTTCCAAAGCAGTGGTTCCCAACCTTCCTAATGCTGGGACCCTTTAATACACTTCCTCGTGCTGTGGTGACCCCCAACTATAAAGTTATTTTCATTGCTACTTTATAACTGTAATTTTGCTAGTTATGAATCACAATGTAAATATCTGATATGCAGGATATCTGATATGTGATCTCCAAAGGGTTCACGACCCACAGGTTGAGAACTGCTGTAAGTAAAAAGTAGAAAACATTGAGATATAACTCCATTTAAAAATTATGTTATTTTATTTATTTTTATGTGTACGGGTGTTTTGCCTGCATGTATAGATACCGTGTGCCCTCAGAGGTCAGAAGAGGGAGTCAGATCCCCTAGAACTGGAGTTACAGATGGTTGTGAGCCACCATGTGAGTGCTGGGAACTGAACTGAAGTCCTCTGTAAGAACAGCAAGTGTTGTTAACGGCTGAGCCATCTCTCCAGCTCCACAACTCCATTTCTATACTTGTTGATAAGTTTGCTCAGTATTAAACAGGGAAGAGATAAATATTGATCAATTGACACAAAACTCAGTGCATCCCCCCCATATTTCTGGTATCCACTACAGTCCTAGAGGCATGGGGAATGACCATGATCGTGGTTTTAAGGAGCTTCCTCCAGAATGGAATGTTTTGCCTCCTTTTAGAAATCCTAAGTTTTAAGGAGCATCCTTCCAAGATGGAAGGTTTAATCTGGGTTGCCATATAACACACCCCAGTCTTTCCACACCACCAATGCCACTTTCCAAAAGTCTCCTTTGCTAAGTATTGTGCCACGGCTTACATGCCTCCCATCTCTGCCCAAGTCCACTTAACCCCAGATATACATAGCAGGATCTTAGAGAATCCAATAGCTCAAATCATCAAGGTTTTCTACCTTGTTTATAACTCAATACCAAACACACATTCTGTACCTTCTTCCTGCAATTAGTGAGACAGGAATGCAGTGCCAGGGACCACATTCTCAAAGTCATGTCTGGGACTTCCCTAGCACAAAGTAGATTCTATTGACCAAAGTACCTGGACTTCCAAGGATTGGCTTTTAAGCTTCAGCATCTTACACTGTTTAGAGCTAAGCAAGGATGTCCATGGGTTGCCTGAGTTCAAAGGAAGTGATGAGTAAGGCCCAACCAAACTTGTAAAC